CCATTCAACACAGCCAAGCTCAGTGCCGAGTCTTGATTAGCGTTCTGTATGTTGACCACTGCGCCTGATGAAATTAAGACATCCACACATTGATTATGTCCACGAAGTACAGCGTACATAAGAGCCGTTGAACCATTCGCATCTGTGACGTCAACGCGTGCCCCGGCTGACACGAGAACCCGGACACAAGCGAGATGACCGTGTCGTGCACCGCACATAAGTGGAGTTTTCTTCAACTTATTTCCCTTGTTGACATCAACCCGGGCACCAGAAAGCAGAGCTCTCAGACACCCTGAATGGCCAGCCCGAACAATATACCACAACGCAGAGTTTCCACCATTATCTACTCTGAGTAGTCCTTGACGAGCATATCCCATACACTGTATGCAAATGTGGTTGGCGTCCGCATGTCTTTTCATTGTTTCGATTGTATTAAGGAATTTTTTTTCCACCTTTAATTCATGTATACATTATCATAATATTAAGCTGAAGAGTTTATTCAAAATTTCAAACGTGTAATTCCTTGATCTTAGATTTAAATTTTGTCTCATGAAGTGGGCCAAAAATAAGACTTATACGCAAAACTGCTAATTGCTGTGGAGTAATATGATGACAATTTGTTATGAATAAAAGATAATTAATTATAATGATATTTCTTTAAAAAGTTTATAGATGTTTCAATTTTTGTATCAACAGAAATAAATAATCAGTTAGGTTTAAAGTGATTTACCGTTAGCTTATTTATGAAATTGTTTTTTTTTCATTTCGTGAGAAAAAGCCACTGCACAAAAGCCTATTTTTGCCAACACGTTTGTATCGGTATTTACTTCCTCCTGTTCCATTTACGTTCAATTCTCTGTATAGCTTTCAGATAGCGAATAAACATGCTTTCTTGTTTTTTTGGTTTCCTGGAAATGTGGTGTGCGGGAATTTCCATTACCATACTTCTTAGTGTCAGAAAACAGACAAATATAAGTTGTTGTTCAACTATAGATCTATATATAGGGAGTATCTAATCGATGGCTAGTCAAAGTGAGAGGCAACACGACTAAATAAAAATTTAAAAAAACCAACTACACCTGACTAATGACAAAGTAATACTGTGTGCCCAAAATTTTTAATAAAATAAAAAAGTTATAATAGAAACAACGTTTAGTCTTCAGAACACTTTTTAGTTTTAAAAAAGTAATTTAGGACAACCTCCGCAATTTTGCTGGAAGGTAAAAAAACGGTTTGTGTATCTCTGACAATGGTGTGTATCTGGACAATGGTGTGTATCTGGACAATGGTGTGTATCTGGACAATGATGTGTATCTGGACAATGGTGTGTATCTGGACAATGATGTGTATGTGGACAATGGTGTGTATCTGGACAATGGTGTGTATCTGGACAATGGTGTGTATCTGGACAATGGTGTGTATCTGGACAATGGTGTGTATCTGGACGATGATGTGTATCTGGACAATGGTGTGTATCTGGACAATGGTGTGTATCTGGACAATGATGTGTATCTGGACAATGGTGTGTATCTGGACAATGATGTGTATCTGGCCGACGATGTGTATCTGGACAATGGTGTGTATCTGGACAATGGTGTGTATCTGGACTATAACATATTTCTGAATAATTATGCGTATCTGAACAAAGATCTGCTTCTGAACTATGATGTGTATGTGGACTTTGATTTTTATTTGAACTTAGATGTGTATCTGAACTTTTTTGTGTCTCAACTAAGTTGAGTATCTGGATCCTTGTGCGTCTAAAGAATCATTTAGATATCGACCAGAATGTTCACAAAAAGTTTGGCCATTGAATATGCTAATAGTTTCAATTGAGAGTTCCTGAAAACGAGTGCTAGGTCTTCAGAGCAAAACCATGTGCTGAATGAATAGGTCATTAATAACACATGTATATGTTGCAGAACATCTTTTTTCCTGTTCTAAAAACGTGTTATTATCACTTACTACAAAAAAGAAGGGAAAAATATTGTTATATTATTAAAATTAATAATAAAAAATCAAATATTTCTTGCCATGCCCACAAGCCGGTAATTTTAAAATTACATTTACAGTTATGAATTAGGCCTTGGCATTGCTTTTTAAATAAATTTAGCTGCAATAAAACCGTTTTTTTTATCTTCCTGTTCTAATTCTAATTTCTTACTTTTATTTTTTATAACAATGTTGTTTATAAAGTAAAAATTTAAAATATATTTTACCTTTGTCATTCTAGTCGCATGAATAGCTCGACATGTTTGGGAAATAAAACCGGTTTCATGAATAAAAATATTATAAATGATTTTTTGAAAAAATAACTGAACAGGGAAGTCCCAAGCTTAGATTTTCGTCTTAACTTATCGCAGACCAGCACGTCACTTTTGGTGTCCCGCCTCTCGCCCCCCACCCTCTTTTTCTTCTCTCTTTCATTTATCGTTTTCGAGTCCCCTGTCATCAAAGTTTGTAGTTTATGTGTTTTTTTCCCAAATCGAAACGGTTTTTTTCCCCTGAGATATCCCTGGCACCTCGGCAGGAGGAAAGTGTTGCCAGATTTGCTGTACTTGTGAGGGTTGCCGGGGTTATAAGGCTTGCCGGGTTGGCAAATCTTGCCGGTGTTGTAAGGCTTGCCGGGTTTTTAAGGCTTGCCGGAGTAGTAAGGCTTGCCAGGGTTGTAAGGTTTGCCGGGGTTGTAAGGTTCCTCATGACGGCTCTGTTCCCCAAAATCCACTTGTCAATGTCGTAAGGTAAAATTATTTAGTGAATTTTTATTAAATTGTCAATATAAGAACTGACCTCGGACAAGGTCGGAGTTTAGTTGTTTTTTTTCCCCGACTTAACTTAGTAACGGAGAAAGATGAGTCAGTGGCGTATCCGGCTTTTGTCTGGTGTTTGATTTCGCCGCCCAGCGATAAGAAAACTAGACAGCATTGAAGATAACAACCAGCTGTTTCCCCTGGAATACGTCATTCGTGTAAGGCAGTGATAAAGAACTCCCCCCAAACCGGTTTCCCATGACCAACCTTACATCCATTCGAGTCTTAGACTTAAAATAAAATAAGGCGTGGTGGGGAAACAAGAAGGAGACTGGTACAATTTTATATAGACAATACATTTGTATAGAGATGGTACAGCTGTTTAGAGAGTGTACACTTGAATATTAACAGTTCAGTAACATATAGGCAGTATAGTTACATATAGACAGTGCAGTTGAATAGAGACAGTACAGTTTGATACAGAACTTATGATCCATTGGTTAGTGCCACAGATGTTTTCAGCTCTAAAAAAAAATCGATGACGTAGTTTCAGGTTTTAATGGAGTAGTTTGGTCAAATAGTGTTAGCAGTGTGGGGGGGAGAGGAGGAGGAGGGGCTGCACTGGTTTCATTCAAAATACAAGTTGTGTCAGTAAATCCCTTGAAATGCTTAGGTATATTAACACAAATATATATTCATAACATGGTCCTCCGATTTTGTTTCTTACGGATGAGAAAAGGTATCAAGCAATCTCAAAAGGCACAGACCGCACTGATAAGCTGGACTGATAAGCTGGACTGATAAGCGTCTCTGGGGCTAAAATTCATGACCATTTCAAAACACGCTTTTAAAAATTTTTTGTTGGTGATATGAAAAAAGTACGAACTTTTTAAAATTAAAAACAATAATCAAGCACAAGAACAAAATTAATCAACAGAGGTGTATGCAATGATAGATGTATTAAGTTTCCCAATCACCACGCGTTCTCAAAGAAAGATTGGTGGAATGTGCGTGCTGTCACGTGCCAGTGTTATATTTATCTCACCCTTCAGATATTGACATCTCCTGAAGTCCTGAAGAGTTCTGTCCAATTGATCTCTTACACTCATATGAACCTTGGGGGTACTTATCTCCAACAAGAGTAGGCAAACTCTGATATTTAAAACCCCAGAGCTGGAGTGCCGTAGCTGGTATTACATTGACACAATGGAAATTCCGACAGCTCCTGCGAAATGGAACGCATAAAGAGAGCACACTGAGACACAAAAAAGCGCTGCATTAAGTTTCATTACATGTCGTCTTGAGCAAGCCGTGTCATCGCATCGAACAGCCAAGGACGAGAGAGTGAGGCTGACGAAATGAGCAGCTCTCCCTCGCTGAGCAACTCTCATTCCCTTTAAACAAAATACAGCTCTTGTCAAGGCTATCTCTTTTTTTTTTTTTTTTTTTTTTTTTGAGATTAACATGCACTGAGTTCAGGTCATGAGATGGTGAAAGAAGGCCAACGTGCTTAATTATTTGGTTTGATATTGAAAATATTAGGTTTGATTAGGAGTGATTTTTATTATCAAATTCTGAAATTATACATCAAGTCTTGTTCATCGAGTAGTGTTAAATAAACTTTTGTGTACAACAAACCGGTTGATGTTTGTTGCATTGGTGACTGTTGCTGTATGATGTACTGCTGAACGGAATGAAGTGAAATACTTGGCCATACCGAAGAATCGCTTCTCGACACCAAGTTTAGAGCTGTGTTCCCGTCTCTATCAATGATTTCTGTTTGGAGAGTTTCTCTAGGAATGATTGCCAAACACTTGCTGTGCCCATGAGTTGCCGCGTAAATTAGAGCAGTTTTTGCTTCGTTGCACTCTGCGCTTAAATTGGCGCCGTTCTCTAATAGTTTGCCCGTCAACATCGGCTTATTCTTCATCATACTCATCATTAATGAGGTTATACCATTAGGGTCAGTTAAGTTTATGTCATAGCCATGCAGGAGTAGAGCGTAGACACAGTTAGAATGACCTCGTCTAATAGCACGAGTGAGAGTAGTGTTCATTTAAAAAAAATTCTCGTTCGTTTTCTCCTCTTATCAACAGCGTCATTACAGTTGCGGCAACCCTTAAAAGAATCATCTGCTATATCAGGGTGTTTGTTATTTTGTTCAATGTCCCATTTCGCCCCAGCATCTATTAGAAGTTTCATACATTCCGGCTTGTTTTGGAGTAAAGCAGTGAATAAAGGGGAGTAACCATCATTTTTGTTAACTCAACATCTGCATTGCTTTCAATTAAATAGTCTGTAATTTTAACATGACCTTGACTTGCCACCATAAAAAGTGCCGTCCGTCCATTTCAACATTGTTAATTAACATTTGCCCCAGACACAAGTAAACATTTCACTGCTGTAAACTGGTCATTGTTGGCGGCTACCACAAGTGACGTCATATCATCTTTGTCAAACTGGTCTATATCACTACCAGCCAGCAAAAGAACATACATACAATAAAGATGGTTCTTTTGTGTGGCTGTTACCAGCAACGGAACGTAATGATCACAGAGACTTTCAAAGTCTCCGACACACTCACT